ACATGTGCCAAAACCCACCCCCCCCCCCCCCCGATTAACCCCTCCAAGCTTACCCTGGAAGTTTTCCTCTTGTACTTGTTGCTGTAGTCGAACATCTCCTTCATCTCCTCCAGCAGCCTGCCCAGCCTGGCCTGCTCCTCGTCGCCGGCATAATCCTGGGCCAGGAGGATGTACGCCCTCCAGTTGGCCGAGTCGAAGCCCCAGTGGCACGTCCGGTTCTCCAGCGCCTTGTGCGAGTGGACGACGAACTTGTGCGGCGCGTAGAGCAGGCGGCAGTCCAGGCACAGGTTGCAGGGGGCGCTGGGGTTGGCGTACAGCTCCGGCACGAACAGGCCCTTGCACTTGCCGAAGCACTCGTGGTAGACCCTGAAGCTCCTCTCGGTCACCTCCAGCTCCAGGGCGCCCGGGAAGTCCTTCTTGCAGCGCGGCGGGTAGGTGCCCCCGTACAGCAGGGCGTTGCACAGCCGCTCGGCGTCCGTCTTGGTGATGAGGCCGCAGGAGGGCGCCGAGAAGGGCAGGATGCCCATGACTTTCAGGATCTCCAGCTGGTCGGCCGTGCAGCGGGAGCAGTAGACGTGCAGCTCGTCGCACACCGAGTTGATCTGCTGCAGGCTGAAGTCGCGTAGCACCGAGTTGAGGATCTGCGGCAGGCACAGGCGCTTCTCCCCGCCGACCACGAAGCACGAGATGGTCTCCCCCTCCAGGATGGTCTCGCAGCGCTCCGTCGAGCGGTCGGATGGCATGAACAGCGGGCCCCCGGGGATGACCGGCGGCGGCTGCTGCACCGGGGGCAGGTGGAGGATGGGCTCGGGCTCCTTGCCGCTCTCCTTCTTGTAAATGTCCTGAGCCCAGCGGGCGGAGAAGGCGGCCGGGCCGCCCAGAGAGCTCATGGAGCTCAGGTGGAACTGTTCCAGGGTCTTCTGCAGACCTGGATGGGGCTGGAAGCTCCGGCTCACAGTCTCCATCATCGGGAAAGAAGGGGTGGGTAGGGAGGGGGGGAAGAAGGGAGAGTGGAAGGGCGCCGATCACAAACGATCAACAACCGGGCTAAAGAATCTTTTTGTTTAGCTCGTGTTTCTTTTAGAAGAAGTTCACAACAGCTCCATGACCGGGCGCCACTGGTGCAGCGCTCTCTCCCCCGCTAGGTCCCGATACGGAGCTACACGTGCCCCGCAGTCACCTCTCTGCTGTCCATAGCCTCCAATCAGAGGAGGGAGGGAGGGCGCTGGAAACAAACACAACTCTACGGGATAGAATAGGAAGTTCCTCGCTCTTCTTAAACGGATCGGAAGTTCCTCGCTTCTCCTATGGATCAGAATCGGAAGTTCCCGGACTCTCCTATTGGACCAGAATCGGAAGTCCCTGGCTCCTCTATGGGAATACACAACGTCGCACACTTCCTAGGAGTTCCTCATCTTGTTACATTGAAAAGCTCGGCGACGGCGTCTCACCGTGCGTACAGCCTGGCTTTCCAATCCAGAGTGCTCAGCTAATAGCCCGTGTGTGTGTGCCTCAGCCGCTCCAGCCTCCTCCCCTCTTTTCCTCTCCCTTCTCCACCCCCTTTTTTTTTTCTCTCTCTGTTCTGTTTGTTGGTGTCTGCCTCAGTCATTGAATCCCAGCCAAGAATGTGACCAACTCCCCAGGCTGGCTCTTCCAGGAACGGCCTCCCCTCCCCATCTTTCTTTTTTTTTCCCCTGCTGCAAAGCGGAAAAAAAAACTTGTCTGTAGAAAGCGCACTAAAAAAAAAAAAACTTGTGGTTGCCGCGCCGGCGGCTAAGGGATTAGACGCGCGGTCGGGCAAGGGTTAAAGGGAAGGCAGGTAATGGGTCTCAGCTGTGACTTTTTGACCCCGCTGGAGTCTCCTGTTTTGTGGGAGGGTTAAGCTGGCCGTGAAGCAGTAGGATTCCGGGTCGAAACGTTGAGAGGGGCCTTTCACACCAAAATCGTCAGGGTGCGTTGACAGTCTTGACTTTGGTTCTGTTGCACTTTTTACATTTTTTTTCCTCTTTTTTCTTTTTGCCAATCTTTAGGCTCCATTCAAACATAGCAGTAGCGTTTTCCCCGCATAAAACCCGCACAGAGCGAAACCGCTCAGACGTTAACATACACGCGGATTCCGCACGTTTCCGCACGTTCACACATGAGCAGTTTTCAGCCATACGAATACGCGCGGAACTTCGCTAAACATAAAAAAAAGACATTGCAATGGGCATTGTTCAGACTATTTGGCGTCTTCGTGGTGCAAAACCGTGCGTCCTGCAAAATAGTCCAAGCGTGATTTCATGTGGGATTCCGCACTTTTCGTTTATAGTTATTATTTTATTTTAATATTGGTATTTATATACTTGGGCTGAATGGAACCTAGAGTTGGTCATTTTTGGTTGTCTTTGGAAAAGTTCCTGGCTAGTTTTGGTTATAAGAATCGGTGACCTGGGGTAAACATGGAAAATCAGAGTTGTACGCCAATCTCTAATCCAATCCAGCGTTTCTCAACTTTTTTTCAGTTTAAAAATATGCGAAATCTCGAAGCCCCGCCATATAAAAATGTCAGATTTAAAGGGGGACCCCACAAAAGAACACACACAAAAAAGAGATTTCTTCCTTCACATTGAAGTGCCCCCTTCAAACCAAGATCCCCCCATTCACTTTAGAATCATCCTTTGCCTCAGTAGCCCCCCCTTCACATTAGGAGCCCCCTTTTACATCAGAAGCCTGTTTTAAATATAGCCCCCCCCCTTTACCACAGAAGCCCTTCTTTAATATCAGAGTCACCCCCCCTTTCACATTTGTGTTCCCCCTTTACATCAGAAGCCCTTCTTTCATATCAGAGCCCCCCCCCTTTCACATTAGTGTTCCCCTTTTACATCAGAAGCCCTTCTTTCATATCAGAGACCCCCTTTCACAAAATGTTTTCTTTCACATTAGGGTCCCCCCTTTACATCAGAAGCCTTTCTTTCATATCAGAGTCCCACCCTTTCACATTAGGGTCCCCCCTTTACATCAGAAGCTCCCTTCACCTCCGTCTTCATTCCCCCTTCACATCACATTCCCACTGCCACAAAATTTAAAGGCACCCCTGTTGAGAAAGACTGATCTAAGCAATCGGAAATAACTGTTTAGGAACCAAAGAAAATCCATTGAGGAAATTGCTGTCCAAAACCACATGGTACATTTTTTATAAAATATGGTCAATTAAAGCCATACACTGCTCGAAATTCGAGCTGCGGTTGGCCCCGTTATCACCACTCTGATTGAAAAATCCTTTGTCGAAGACGCCAAGGTGAAAATTCTCTCACAATTTCAAGTCAGCTAGTGTCACCGGTTGGGTATTCTGACAGCCATGTGCGTCGGCTGTTAGAATACAATAGCCCAGCAGGGAAGATTCCTCCATCTACGCTGTTTCGCATGTGTGAGGAAACTGAGCGTTCTTTTTTTTCTCACTTAGCTCCATGCTAGTGTATGACCAGCTTTAGAAAAGCTTTGAAGTCTTTGGATCAGCTTAAAGCTGAACTCCTGGAATTACACAAGATCCAATCACTCTGCATTGTACATATGGATGCCGAGGGCCCGCCCACAACCTCGGAATGTCGGAAAAAAGAGATGAGTGCCCAAAGGCGGCCTGAGCAAGGAATAAGGTAAGTATTACAGACCATTCCCCTACACCTTGACCTAACAAGCATTTAACCCTTGCAGTGCTGGGAAGGGCACTGCCAGGATACGTTTTGTGCATATCCCAGAGTTGTGTACTTTATGTGTTAGGAAAACGTCCTGACGATGTTCATATACGCATTCATTTTTGATCAGATTGACAAATCATTAATTGTTCATATGCCAAAATAATTTTTGAATGCAGTGGTCAAACATTTGGTAACTAAAGCCGAACTTCAGGCAGGAAAACTTTCAGTGGATATAGATTAATTTTGTATGCACCAATTGCCTTTGCATACCCAAATATTTCCTTGTAAAAGCACAAGTGACATCCTCACTATGCTCTGCATAACCAGAGCAGAGCAATGGGAGGGACCCAGCAGGCTCCACCCAGTACAGGCTGCCTGCAGAAAACGACATAAAGGGGCGGATACAAGACCAGTTACTGCACAAGGAGAGGCAGTGTCAGGAGGTATCGTCGGCCTGGGCCGTGAAGCTGAACCCACTGGCAGGAACAGGCAGAGGCCTGAAAACGAGGTACAAAAGGAGCAGTCCAAAGGCGAAGTCCGGGTCAAGGCAGGCAGCTTGGTTCAAGAACGGGAAGGCAGGCCAAAGAGTCAGCAACAGGAAGACAGATGAGGGATCAGGAAATGGTAGTAACAGCAAACACAGGAGGCTAGGTGATTGCACCATATAGGTAGAATAACCCAGCAATGAGCCAGGGCTCTGACTGGGATTTATACCCAGTGGGAGCTAGGACCACCCCCTGGTTGTCGAGGCAACCAGGAGGCTTCTTCATCTAGGAGCTAATGGCAAAAGAGAAAAGGCAGAAGGTGTGTGCTGGGAACCTCCCACAGCAAGGCCCACACCTGACACCACTAATGGGCGCGTGCACGCCCCCGTGCGCAGCTTGTCCACCGCGCGAGCGCACCCGCAACCCTGGGGCCAGGAGACCCCGTGCCCTATGCCGCAATTGGCAACCCCCGAGGATCGGTAAGACCCCTGATACCCTGACAGGCAGCAGCTGTGACCAGTCTTTATTACAGGAAGCTCCTACACAGAAGAAAAGTTTCACAGTGGATTGATGCACAGATCTGGAAGAAACACAAAGGACAGCATGATTCAGGAAGAATCATTATGTATGATGGGGGGGTGACGAGGGAGCCATTGAGTGTTGCAGGGGGCACAGGAGATCGGCACTCCTGCAGTTGTCGGTTTGCCAGCATGATTCGATGGACCTCAGCAATGGATCAGCATTTGACAATGCAGGCAGAGGTAAGTATATACATTCTTCTATCCAGGTAACATCTTTTTTGTGTAATGTTGATGGGGTCAGTTGAAAGCTCCCAGACCCTGTCGGATTTTGCAAAAATAAATACAATTGATGGTGCAGGCAGAAGAGGTAATGTACAGTTATTCTTGACCAATAACTTGTTTTCTACTCTTTTAGAGAAATGTAAGATTTTTTCTCCCATGTGTTTGTATGTATTTGGCTTTTTTCTTTGCATAAGTTTTCATTTGTCTAGTTCTGCTTTTACTATGTATAGCAATAGTGACGTCCTTGTCATGCACCATAGAAGGGAACTCACTGTGAGGTTCCTCCCTTTGATATTTTTGTCCCAGGGATAGATAGCTTCGTGAAGTGCATACTGTATTGTTTAGGGGGTATAATAAATGGTGCTGTTCCGAATTTTTTTCAGGATGTGTCCTGCAGGAAGGCTCTAGTACATACCACTACACAAAATAAACACAGTGTGGCCCTTGGCCTGGAGGTCAGCAGAATTCCTGACATCTCATCTGCATATGGCGGAGAGAAGAACCAGAGGCATAATCGTCCTGCACGCACTAATATCTAATGTAGGCATTATTATTATTATTATACAGGATTTATATAGTGACAACAGTTTGTGCAGCGCTTTACAACATAAGGAAGACATTACAGTAATAATACAATTTAAAACAATTTTGTCAGAAGGGCCCTTCCTGTGAGAGCTTACAATCTAAGAGCCCATTTACACCAGGGCGGTTGCGGATCAGCACGGTTACCGCGTTGATCTCAAAAGGGAGGTTTTGGGAGTTTTTAATTGCGTCTCAGCGGTGAAACGCAATTAAAAACGCTCCATTGAAAGCTATATGGAAACTGCATATATCAGCATGGCAAAAATAGTGCAGGGAGCATTTCGGGCGGGGGGCGGTTCGAATCGCGCGGTCGCATGAACGGTCTCCATAGCAATGTATGGGATCGTTCATGTCCGCGGATCCGTGTGGCCGAACCGCCCCGATGTAAGCGGAGTCTCAAAGGGAGGTACAAGTGATACAAAAGGTGGTAGCC